GTTTACACCTTAACAACAGCACCCCTCCCAGATAAACACACTTATTGTGAAGGTATACATCCTGCTGACTGTTGCTTTGGGTCACGGTTCTGATTTCCCACAATGCTTTGTGTCTGCTTACGTAGCAGGAAGGCAATGTTTAGTACTCCCTGTCCCAGCAAAAACAGTTAATATTTGTAATCCGAACTAAAATTTTGTATGTATTGATTTATTTTACTTTACAATCGGAGCTCCTTTTTTTAAAAAAAGAAATAAAGTTTAAACACTGGAGCTCCAAAGCAATCGGCCAACGGTGTTAGAGACACAGAAATGATTTAAAGATGTTATGCTGGTGAAGACTGACATCTAGTGGTCAACTGGAGCAACTACATGGAAAACATCCTAATCCGGGTAGAAAAAAATCAAAAAGAAAAAAATCAGTAGGTCCTCTGGATGGTTCTTCTTTAGTGAAATGTTTCGTCTCTCCTCCAAGAGACTTCTTCAGTCTGATGAGTTTCAGGTGAACTGGAAAACTTTAAAATCCAATGGAAACATGAAAAACTTTGAAATCCAAGCTCTTATTTTGAAGGGAAGATAGTAGTGTCCTGTTCTCCAATCTTTTGTTTCCCATGTACCCAGAATGCACTGCTTCAGTTTTCCAATAAACAGTTTTAAAATTACTTTATTGATGCTTCTTTAATGAAAAATCTACAACAAACAAAAGAAAAAGACAAAAAAGCAGCCGAACTAGCAATCCTCAACAACTTTTTAATTTTTACACCAGGAGCCAAAGGTCTGTTTCAGGAAATCACATCCCCAGCAATCAGAGGTTGTAGAATTAAGCTGTACAAGAGTTCATAACCTGCTAGTTAGCAGTGTTGTGCATATATTGTACATGAATTGTCAGTAAGTGTTAAATTGAATGTGTTGCTTTAAAATTAGCTTCCATTAATTTTTTCTATGACGYAAGCGTTTTGAAGTTGCRGACCTAAATATTTACATAAGCGCTTTAGAAATTGCGGAGCTAATTTTTGGATTAGCGCTGCCCACCACTTCCTTGTTGCTTTCCTGTTTCAGTGTTAAAGGGCTGACATTTTCCTGTTTCAGTGTTAAAGGGCTGACATTTTCCTGTTTCAGTGTTAAAGGGCTGACATTTTCCTGTTTCAGTGTTAAAGGGCTGACATGACAGGTTAATGTGTGATTTTAAAGCATTCCTTCCCTGGCTGACACACTCTGGACTTCCTGTCATAATCCTGTCATAAACTGCGTGGAAACGTCTGAATGTTCTGAGTCTCTAACCTGTTGTTTTATGGTTTGCTGTCCTTCAGATCGTAAAGCGGTTGCCACACACCTGCCCCTGGCCTGGACCCGCTCCACCCCTCAGGAGGACGACAAACTGCTGGCAGCGCTGGAGGAGCTCGCCCTCAAGTTCAAACCTTAACCTCTGCAAACCTTCTGCTTTTTGTAATCAGGCTCTCCTCCAGCCCTGAAATGTTTACACAATCAAGCRTTTTGCTTCAGCGAACTAAACATATGATGCCTCAGAGATGTGTTAATTATTGTAAGAAGGTTCAAACTGTTCAGGTTTAAATACRCTACAAATACTGTTTGATACTAACTTACAGTAACGGAAACGTTTACTGTTTAATTTGTGTTAATGTGATAATTATTTTAGCAATTCATTTTGTCTGAACTGGTTTTATTCCAGCATCACTGCTGGTTTAATGTTGATTTTTGTAACAAATGTCATTATTTTTGAGAATTATTTCCAATCAGCAGTTTATTTAATAAACAGGTTCTTTGTCACAAGTGAAGATGTAATTTTTTTGGTTTAGAGATTTTTGGTAATTTCACCTCTTATCTTTGAGTTAATTTTTACATAAATCCAACCAGATTCCATGTAAAGCTGGGGTGGGCAATCATGGTCCTCGACTGTATGGAGGACCGAAACTGACATAATTAGAAATAAAAGCAGAAATAGATCAATGAAACTTTAATTAAATAAATACATTTAAAATGCACCAAACCTTCATATTTATTTTTCCAGTTTAGTTCCAATAAATTATATATTTTAAAACACAATTAAAATTTTAATGTTTTTTAATATATATTTTACATAGTTTTTCCTTTTACTTTTACATGCATTTGTGTCTTGAGTGCTGAAATTGAATTATTTTTATATTTTTTGTCCAACAAGTCTTATTTCTGTGTTGCATGCTTGTGCCGCTGCAGTTTAGCTTAAAGTTTAGTTTAAAAAAGCACAGGTAATGTTTTCCTCCTTGCCTTTGTTTTAAACTAAACTTTAAAGTTTTAGTGAGGCAGCACAAGCATGCAACACATAGAAATAAAAAGACTTGTTGGACAAAAATATAAAACTAATTTAACATTTAAGACACACAAATGCATGTACAAGTAAAAGGAAAAGCAATATATATTTTAAAAAGTCTAATTTAAATTATGTATTCAAATATATAGACTAATTTATTGGAACTAACCTGGAAAAATAAATATGAAAGTCAATTAAAATGCAAAACAGGAGATAAAGTTCTCATTTTTTAAATTTAATTGGTGCATTTTAAGTATTTATTTAGTGGTTCATATAATTCTTTTATTTCTAATTATGTCAGTTTTGGTCCTCCGTACTGCAGAAGCCTGATAATCATMTATTCMTTCACATCAGGTGTGTTGGAGCAGAGAAACAAGTAAAACATGCAGGGCTGCRGMCCWCCAGGACCAGGACTGACCAKGCCTGATGTAAAGGATCATTTTTTCACCAGTAAACAGCTCCACGTTTTGTTCCTACAGCAGAGACATGAAGATGTGTCTGGATCAAATTCTATGGAAGAATAAAGACCGTAATAAAAAGTGTTCCTAATATATTTCATCTAAAGTGATAATAGTAAAATGTTCTCTGGGCAAGTGTTTTTAAAGACCTGTGGCCATCTAGAATTAGGTTGACATCAAACGTTGAGCTTTAAAAAGGCGATTGAATAATTTTCTAGAGCTTTATTCAGATCTGTGGTGATTCAGGAGATATTTAAAAAAGAAAATCTGCACAGCTTTACAGTTTATTACAATTTAATAAGCAGTTCTGACTCAGCTGTCACTCAAACGTGRTGCGTTTAATGTCATCCAGTCACTCTGAAACATCTGTTCCTGCACAACACAAACCACTGGCCACAAGTTTAATCTGTTAATGATTTTTAAATGCATTAAGTATTTATTTTCCTGTGTAGTAAGAGATTTTGCACATCACATGTCCATTTATCACATTTGTTTAATCCTAAATTCAGTTTGTACAAGATGAGATCTTTGTTTATAGAAACTAGTAAGAAAAGAAAAAGACTAAATAAACTTATGACCAAAACAAACCATTATTAAACCAATAACCATTATTTACACCATCAAGGTCTAAATGCCCACAGAGTCTCTTTCAGATACTTTATAAATATAAAACTCATGCAGACATCTTTGGGGGAAAAATCTAGTTAAAGCACAAGAGTGACATTACAAAAAAAAAAGTGTTTTTCTTCACAGAAGTTATTTATGTAATATTTTTCCTTCTTGATTCCAGTGCATTAACAATTAACAACAAACAAAAAATACAACAGACACAAAACAGCCAGACAGTAATACTCAATAATGCTCACAGGACACTGTTGATTTTAAAGATCAGTAAGAATGTGAGCTGTCGGTCTCTGTAAACACGTCACATCTCAAACGTTCAACTTAAAACAATACAGCAGTGATCACTTCAGTCATCCTGAAGGTATTCAAGCTGCACGTACTGTTTGTTTTTGTTTGTTCAGGATTTTATGAGCAGGTTAGAGGTTCTGCAAACACCGGCAGGACCTGCTGTCAGAGGAGAAATGACACAAAGAAGTGTGTTTTTTACGTGAAACTGCAGATGTAATCAGTCCACACAACTGCACAGAGAAAATGTACGTAAAATTAAGTTGTGTAAGATTTAGCTGCTCATCATTGTCACAGTAAAATTATTAGCTGTAAGTTAAAGTAATCAAAAGTGACAGAAGGAGGAAACAAAGAGCTTAATTTGGTGCAGACAGAACATGACAAAAACTAATTTTAACACAACTGGGATCTGATCGAGTCACAACCTAAAACACAATTATTTTATATATTATCATCATTCTTTTTGAAAATAAATACCATTTAAAAATGTATTTAATGCAGATTGGTCAAGACTTCTTGTCTTTTCACCAAAAAGTGGTGAAATTGTGAACAATTATAATCCAGATTTAGCCAGCAGGGGGCGACGTTCACAGCTGATTTCACAGGCCTGAAGGGATCTGATCAAAAAATGATCAAACTTCTTCATATCACAGATGTGTTCAGGTCAAGATCTGGTCTGAGTCCAGTTTAATAACATGCTTCACATCTAGAAAAATCTGAAGTTTAGTAAGTTTTAAGACTTTACAGTATTAAATAAACAAAAAAGGAATAGAAATTAAATTATTATGGTGTGATAATTACTTCTTAAGTGAAATGCCACAAAATATGTGAGTCCAGACAGACCCGTCAGTGGCACAGCGTGTCTGTAAGTCTGGTGAAGACTTGTCCTGTTCTCAGTCTTCACTGGCCTGCAGTGTCTTCACTGTCAAACAGTTGTTAAATATTATCCAGATGACACAGTTGTTTGTTGGAAAGCCTCTCTCTTCTCCCCTCAGAGTGCGACTGCTGCCACAACACCATCGCAGTCCTGTCTGTGGAGCAGCTCCTGTCCACACAGACTCAGGACACCACAGGAGTCATGTCCCACAGCTGCAGAGAAACACAACACAAGCTTTGTTTAAACGCACACAAACAACTCACAAGAGTCCTCTGCTGAGGCTCGGAAGAACGTAACATATAAAATAAACCACAAGCATTTCTAATTAGTTTAGCTCAGAGATTCTTAAYCCATGGGCCGCGGCCCACAGCGCCACCTTCAGGGCCTCAAAAGAACAACAGTTTTTAACTTTGGGCCGCAGAGGGCCGTGGGACCACATTGATTTTGAATAAGGTGTAATACACTTTCTCACCACGAGTAGCAGTAGTGCACCACTCAGATGTTTAACAACTTTTTAATATGTAGAAGAAGAAACTTAGAAAC